TTATACCTATAACTAAACCGGTATTTGAACCTAGTATTCTTAAATTAGATCATAATTGAATAGCTGGGTTCGTACAAGCTGACGGAACCTTTGGATTAAACTATACTAAACAACCAAGAATGAAATTAGGGTACACATGTCAACCTCAGTTTCGTGTTACTCAACATGAGCGTGATTTAATAGTTTTAAAAAGAATTATTGATTCTATGGGTTGTGGTACTATAGTAAAACCATCTGGAGATAGAGACAGATATAGTATATCTGTCGCAAATACATTAGATTTAGTTAATATTGTAATACCTTTATTTGAAAAATACCCTCTTTATGGTGCAAAACATAGTGATTTTTTTGGATTTTTGCAAAGGGGTATACATTATAAAAGACAAAGGACATTTAACTCCAGAAGGGTTAAAGGCTTTGAAGGATTTAGCGTACGCCATGAATACATACAGAGAGTTTTAGTGATCATGTATTTAGGTTATTTTTTATTTTATACAGTATACTCCTTTATTTTTCCCGTTTTAGAACTTATAGTGTGAATAGTTTGCCGTTGGTTGATGTGAATCAATCAATTATTATATCACTATTTGCTGGAAAAACTTTACATCAAGTTTATACATATTTTCGCAGCACTGCGTTATAAGATGTATAAGAAAATCTTGTGCCAACCCCTTTTATTTGCTGGGGGTTGAATGGTCAATCAGCAGGTAACATTATTAAGCGTTAATAATGGAACCTCAGAGACTGCACGCGATATAACTTTTAAATTTAATAATTATTTAAACCAAAAAGTTATACATAAAAAAAAAATCAATAAAAGATTCTTAGAATGATTTATTGGTTTTACAGAAGGAAAAGGTTGTTTTATAGTGTTAAATAATAAAGTATATTTTGACATTAGTGTAAGTATAAAGGATATACAAGTTCTTTATTATATTAGAAAAGAACTGGGTTTTGGTAAAATCTTAATAAATAAAGATTCAGGTGGATGTTGTGAAGGTGCGCGTGCTAAGGAACCCTTAAGTGGTGCATCTTTTTATGTTACAAATTTTGATAAT